GTCCATTGAATAATAGCATTGTCCATAGAATCGTTCTAGTAACTAGGTATCTACCAAAAGGTATTACATACGTAAGAGGTCATGTTGCCTTCCTTGAGCTTTGCAAAATCAAACCCTAGTTGACTATATCCATAAATTTAAGGCTTTGACGAGACAAGTCTGCTTTTGTGCAATGTGTGGATCAACTGCTTTCCACGTCTTAAGAAACTAACCTATCATCAGAAGCTGGATCATGCGTCCAGAGTCTAATGCCTTCAGAGTCTGATGAATATATTCAAATTCTGATCAGCCAGAATTTGAGTATAGCTTCTTCACTTATACTTTCAATAGGATTAATGATGAATTCTTTAGTTTATGATCCTGCACACTTGAACATATGTTAGGAAACCCTATTGTTCTTTCAATACTTTGTTATCATCAAAATATTTTAAGGGCATAAACAAATCTTATTCTAACAATGTTAACATTGGATTTATGGACTCTAGTGCTACATATCATATATGATAACATTGGATCATGAATTTTTTTATTCAACATTTAGAACTTGTTAACATTAGAATACCCAATGGTAATATGGCAATGGAAAAATGTTTTGGAGCTGTTATTTTCTCACCAGATTTCACAATGCATAATGTATTGTTTGTACCTGAGTTTAATCTGAATTTATTGCCAGTTCCAAAATTATGTTTTGATCTTAATTGTGTAGTGATTTTTAATAATTCAAAGTACTCAATTCAGGAAAAGAAGACCTTTATGGTGATTTGTTCAGCTAAGTTAGTGTAAGGATTGTATTATCTTGCCATCACACAAGCGCACATCAAGGCAACATCACCATATTCCAAGTTCCACCTCAATCTGCCTTTATTCCTAAGACAACTTTGTGGCATTTTAGACTAGGTCATTTATCAAATAGGAGACTTATTAGTTTACATAAACATATGACATTTATCAATACAACTGCGGAGTTGAAATTGTTAGGACGGATAATGGTCTGGAGTTTCTCATGCCTTAATTTTATTCTTCCAAAGGCATTAATCATCAAACTAGTTATGTTGAAACTCCCCAGCAAAATGGGAGATTTAAAAGAAAACATCATCACATTTTAAATGTAGGAAGTGTCTTACTTTTTCAGCCTAGTTACCTAAACACTTTTGGTCTTATAGAATTCTTCATACTACCTACCTTATAAATCGCATACCTAGTCCTTCACTTCAGGATAAATCACCCTTCTTTCATAAATTTGGAACTGAACCTCACTTAATTAACTTGAAAGTTTTTGGATCCCTCAATTATGCTACCACCTTACAAAACCATTGAAATAAACTGGATTCTAGAGCTATAAAATCCAAAAATATTTTTGTCTTGCTAAGAACTATGTAGCATTGAATTCCTCATCGCACCTGAGGATACGTAGGATCAAGACTGGCAATCTTATCAAGCATCCTAATAAAAAAATATTTTTAGTTCTTTTCTTTTTCCTTAAAACTTTTAATAACTAGAAGAAAACAAATAGCATACACTAACACTTATTCACAAAAATAACTAGATAGTTCCTGTTGAGTATAGGATGTGAAGGATGTTAAAACTTTCCCTTCTTATAACTAACTCCTGAACCTGAATTTGGTCGTGACGACCATTTTATTTTTTTAAGGGTTTTATTGATAGTTTCCCTTTCCTTTTGGAATAAATAAACTTCGGTGATGTCTCTTTTATTATTTTGAGCATTCGTTACATCCGGGTATTTTTCACGTCACAACAAATTTATTATGATTTTTGTAAAAAAAAAATGTGGAATGAGAGACCCTATTTATAGAAATTGTAGATCAACAAGGACCTTAGAAACCCTATCATACAATCAGGACAGAATTCGGAGATGTGTCTCTAGATTCACCCTTTTATTTCAAAAAATAAGGGTCTATTCAGGGATGCATATCTGGATAATCCCCAGTTTTGTTTTTTAATAATTAAAAGGTGTGTCTAGAAATGCATCTCCAGACCTACAGAAAAATTATACAGTTCAAAACTAGTTTATTATGCAGTGCAAAATTTAAAGCACAAAAATTTTTCAAAAACTACCACCCAATTTTAAAACATTATGTAGTTCGTTACATACAAAAAAAATATTTTACATTGTTAGATTACAACTAAAATGCATCAAAACATATGTCACTATCTAAATGTATTAGTGGTTCATTTTTCAACCTTTTCTTATTTGCTTCTATTTCAATGTCGCTCAACTTGGTGAACTTTTCCATCCTTTCTAAAAAGTGATTCGATCAAGTTTCAACATCTTTTGTGAAATGTGTCGTTCACTTTAGTGATGTCTTTGGTATAGGATATCCCAGTTTCAAATAAATCTGAATAAAATGTTGTATTTTTTATAGTCAACCAATACACATGATGTGTTTGGATGGATTTTGAGGTGGTTTACTCTTAGTGAAAAGAAGGTTTCAGAGAAACTACATCGTGTCAAATGAATAAACAAACTATCATAAGCACTTGCTATAAGGTATCACATTTCCAGGGAGCGGTCCATTTTTCAAACAGATTCGAACCAGTAAGACAAGGAACTAGATGATTGAGAAGTGCGTCGTAATTTGCTTTATTCCCATCTCGTTTCAACTTCCTAATTTATGGTTGGTACATGCCATTTATTTTGCATCTCATTGTTACAAATGTTTGTCTTCTATTCAAACCATTATCAGACCTTCCGATTACAACGTCAAACTCTAATTTGCCAGCCTCCCTACGAACCCATTGTTGCATATGTTCAGGAACAATAAACATTTCTTTCTTTGTAAATTATGCATGAACATCTACCTAAACAACAATCGGTCAAGCACCCAGTTTAACATCATCATTCACTTCTTTCGGTTTAACATCATCATTCACTTCATCTGATTTAACACCACGTTTCACTTCGCCCGATTTAACCTTCACATTCAGAATAGCTTTGGGATAATACTACCAATAATAGAAAAACAATGTTAAAGCTCAAACTACCAGGACAACCCGGATATGCACATTCGGACCACACCAAACTTTGTCCGAAGATGAATATCTGGATTCAACGTTCACTTTTCAACATAAAAATTAGATTAATGCAAGGAATGAGGGATGAAATGAATGAACTTTACCTGTAATTCCAACTTTTTTGCTTCCTTTGAAATGATGTTTTACTGTTGAAAATTTGATTGAGAATGAAAGAAACTTTTTTTTAAGGATTTTGAAATAGAGTGTTGTTTGAGTATGGAGAAGAAGATCATGCAAGATGGTGTTTTATTCAATTTCCTGCTAGACCTTTCTGGATATGCATCTCTGGAAGTATCAATGAGTAGTTACTGTAACCAGCTCAGTGAATAAAAACACTAAATGAATGCATGGGGTATTTCGGAGATGCATCTCAGGATAAATTCAAATAATATACGGAGATGCATCTCAGGATAAATCCAAATAATATACGGAGATGCATCTCAAGACCATATTTTTTAGAATATGGGGTGGATTTCAGGAAAATCGAAGTTTAGTGTGATTGTGGATGCATTTGGTGATGTATCTCTAGATCCATAAAAGAAATTTTTGGATTTCCAAAGATGTAGGATGTGTTGGGAGAAGTTTTTCAACTATGGAGTATTGAACATTGTGGTACTTTCTTTCTAGAGAAACCCACCTATGTGAGAGACACATCACATATTCATCCAAAATCTTAAGGTGATAGGTGTGTGAGTTCTCCCACTTATAAATATTCAAGTCTCCACATTTCTAACCAATGTGAAACTATTACCCGTACTATTTACACTTGTTATACTTAACAAGATGCACACAATATAGTGGAAAGAGCATCCTCGCACCATTTTAAGAGCATCCATTTTAAGAGGTTTGAGGTATCATGAATGTAAATGTCCAATTAGTTTTGCTGTATAATTCTTTCAAAAAGAAAAGTTTTTCAAAGCTTAAGCTCACCTCCCCACCCATTTGTTACATTACATTAGTGAAAATTAACTCACTTGCTCATAAGAATGACAATTGAATTTATTTTCGATTGGTACCCATAAAAATTATCCACAACGAATAGGACAAAAATCTACAAAATAGATACGGGCACAGACATTTATCCATTAAAATAAGCGTTAATGAACGCAAATACGGGTACCTTAATACCACCGTCCCATACCCGCACAATTATAATAATAATAATAATAATAATAATAATAATTATTATTATTATTATTATTATTATTATTATTATTATTATTATTATTATTATTATTATTATTATTATTATTATTATTAATACAAGTTTATCAATTATATTAAATAAATTATTATTATATTCTATAGATTTTAATATAAATGTTTGTTTATTTCTTAACTCAACAATAACATCTTTGATTAGTTTTTAATATTGTTAAAAACTTAAAATGATATGATAAATTATAATTGATCGAATATTTTTTAGACATGCGGATATGGTTTAAGTCCGGAGATTTTTTTCAAATTTCAGATATGGGGATGGATACTTGCCCAAACTCTGCCCATTTCTTGCTCATCTTTCTGTTTATTATTAATTTATAACTTACTGTTTTACTGTCAATTCATAAAAATATAACTAGTTCAAAAAAAAGTCTCTAATATGTACAGTGTGAAATTGCAAATCTGTTTACCCTTTTATCTTGGAATGGATGTTTTTCTCAAAAAAGAATTGATTTTGTCATGTTAAAAGTAAATTCTTAGAGAGTATTAAAAAGGGTGCAAGAGCATTACTTGCAACTCTTATAGACCAAAAAATGTGAAAGATAACAAAGCTTTTAAAAAGTGTAGTTGAAATTATGAATAGAAACAAGGCAGGGAAATTTTGTTCTTCACACTCTTTATAAGATGAACAACATACTGAAACTATATATATACAAACACAGTTCAAGTCTATAATCTTAGTGAAAAAATGATCAGCGTCGACAATTTCCAGAACGAATTTGGTCACAACACAAGAAAAAAGAAATTTACATGGAGTTACGGCCGTTACAAAGGATGTAACCAGAGATGAGTGAGCTCATAGCAAATGCAACAAAAGCTAGAAATGACATTCCAACTGAAACAGTAGCCATCTCAGTGAACTCATCTTTCCCCCAATTTGATTGCCAATCATCCACCCTAGTGGCTGCAGAGGATGATGCTGATATCAGAAGGTATGCCACAACCTACACATCAATTTTTGCACAAAATATGTTGGATACATTTTCAAAGAAAATAATAGTAATAGTTTGGTTTATGCAAAGAGTTCTGTATGACATGCCTGATCCATGAAGAACTGAAAGTGATAGCGAAGGTGATGACTGATCATGTGTTTTCCTGTGACTAGTTGAAAGGCTAGATCACAAGCTTGTAAGCCTGAGTATGCAAATCCGATAACATTCATTGATAAACAATACCTGCCATACATACAACTAAACTTTTACCATCACCATTTTTAATATAATATAAACCGAATACACTGATTTTTTAGAAAACTAATCCTTCGGCGTGTTTAGGGATGAGATGAATTTAAATACATCTGATTAAGCTCCAAGAAATCCTTACAATCTCATGTTTCTTGAAAATTGATTTGATATCTAACATAATTAAATTATTTAATGCCTTATTATAATTTAATATTAATTCATTTTAAATTAAATTTAAATTTTTACCAAAGATGTTCAAATTTAAATCAATACAAATAAAGACTAATCTAAAACTATCAAAAATTGAATATTATTGAATATGTTATCATTTTATAAAATCAAGTTTCAAATTAATTTTTTAAAACCAATCCATATCAAATCAAAATACATGTATATACTTTCATATTTATTTATTTCTTACTAGTATCGTATAATCCGTGTTCATTTTTATATATTAGATAAAATATATTATTTTATAGTGTTTTATAATATTAATAAAAATATACAATTTATAATTTAAATATTTAAAGATTGATCTAAATCAAATTGAAAGTAAATTTATTTTTAAATTAGATGAATTTTTCTCAACTGATATCAAACTATACTATAAAATAATAGTAATTATAATTTTTTATAAATACTAAATAGTTGTAATTCATTATTTTTAAAACGAGTCTAATAGTTTGAAGTAACGAAATTAAGCATGGAAATGAATGAATGAACGAATGAAATACCTGTATTCTTTATAACGATCATAAGAGTCCCCACTCCAACCTTGCGTCTTATTTGCAGCCATAACCGAAAACGAAATTAGACACACCACCACCTCGCATAGCCGGAACCCTAACCCCGCCTTTCTCGTAACCTCCTCCGCCGTAAAACTTACAGGAGCCGATCTCGGTCTCCGCTCACCACCTTTTTCTGCAGTCTCCACTTTCGTCACCTGCCTTTGAGGCTCCTCTCTCTCTGGTCGGGGGAACACTGTAAAAGTATTGTCCGGTGGCAGCTTCCGTTGGTCAGGGAGTTTCTCTTGCGAAATCTGTTTTATGTCGACGGCAACTACTGCCATTGAGTTTTCTACCATCTTTCCGGGTGAGTTTACAGGTGATCGGTATTCCGGTGAGTCTGCTGCGTCCCATCGTAAGGGAGAGCAGAAACGTGCAGGTGATTCGAACTGAGTTGAGTCGGAGCCTCTTGACCATGATTTTTTCATGGATGGGTGAGTTGTTGTTGCCATTCTCGGTTTTTTCTTCAAGTTCCTTTTCCTTGGCTTTCGCTAATTTTGAAAAACAAAAGTGGAAGAAAAGGAGAAGAAGAAGATTAAAATAAAAAATGAAAAGAAAAAGTTTGTAAGTTTGATTGGGTGAGCGGGTGGGAAAAGGAAAAAGAAAATAAAAGTGGAGTATGCGTGGGCTTTAGTTTGGTTTCTATTTTTAGTGTAATAAAAAGCACCACACATTCATTCCATCAAATGCCTACTTCGCTTTCTTCTACTTCACTTGTACATAAATTTGTTTATTTAAACCTATCTACATAAATTTGAATCGATTGATTAGAACACTAAGGAATAGCACACGATGAAATGGAGTGGTACGATTGGTTAGAACACTAAGGAATAGCACGATGTAATGGAGTGGAACTCAAAGAATCCATTCCATCATATTCCATTCCACTTCATTCATTATTTGCAACAAACCTATATATTTATTGTTTCATTCCATTCCATCTAAACACAAATTCACAAGTCTAAATAAATGTTAGACAATTTTATATCTATTTATTAGATCCGAGTCATTAAACTTTTGCAATATTATATTCTTGAGGTATTTTTAGATTTAGTTGAATGTGAGTACATCAAAATGCTCTAATTGAATTCTTTAAATTGATAGTGTAAATTCCATAAAATCAAGTTGAGAACCATCAAAATGCTCTTATTTTCTTTTCTTTTTTTAAACATAGAGGTTGCTTGATGAAAAACGTGAAATAAATTAAATTATGCAAAAAAAAAAAAAAAATCAATGATCAATTTTAAGTTGATGGCATCTTGCAAATAAGAGAAGAAAAATCAAGTACGTCCAATTACCTAAACAAGCTTTTTCAATGGATGAATATCTTAGTACTTTTGAGAGTGGATTACCTTTAATTCAATAAAGACTTAAAGTGTTTCAGACTTTAACTTAGTGTCGACTATAAAGTTTCATCCTGCGCGTTATGATACAATTCATTCATGCTATGCTAAATAATTGAGCTCTTAATTTTCTCACAAGACACTTTTTATCTCTTTCCACGCCATCAAAAGCATTATCATAGGTTTTTATAGGATCTATCTTTACTCACTTTTTTGAGCTACCAATAACTTAACCACATTCGTTCTTCTTGATGGGATCATAAAATTCACAAAGCATACAACTTACTATTTTCTTATGTGACCAAATTACCATAGCTATGCATGCAACTCTTTATTATCAACTTCAGTTATGAACGATCCCGCACATATAGCTCAGTTGATGAATCACGAAATGCAAAAAGAGTTCAAACTCTAAAAACTAACATAACTTCTAACTTACTAACACTTGCCAGTAAAAATAAAACTTTTAATTACTATTGGCTTCCTTTGATGCAAGCAGAATACCTGAGACTTTTCCACCAACAAGAAAGAAGGCACAGAGCCATAACCATAGTGAACATAAAGGATCCTTTAAGGTCTTTCTATAGTTCCTACTACACTATTTTGTCAATCAGCAAAATTTATATATACATAAGATGGTATTAAAGAGATTGAGTAAAGAAACAGCCAAAACTTAACTCTTAAAAAGGCATTGAGAGGCTAGAAAAATTACAACTGCCTGCGTGTCTGAGTGAGTAAAACTATCGCTCAATGAAGAAAACATACCCTCACCACTATTGTCAGAATCCTTCATATTCCAACAGATAGTCAGTGAAGAAAGAAATTGGAAGGGTTTTGTGGCTTACTCGGGTAGTTTCAACCGGTTGAATAGTACAAGAAAGCTTTGGTCGGGCACAACATAAAGGAAGCCAATATCTGCACCTTTCATGTGAGGTCCCATGCCCTAAACACAGCACAGCGTTAATGTCAACATAAATTCTAGACGCAAAAACAGGTTTGTTGATTGATACCAATAATCCTGCTTGTATATTGAGAGAAAAGGTACACGTTTGACCATTAATTTACCTTGCCATTAAGTTGAAGCAATTCCCCGTCAACCCATTTTGGATTTCGGAAACCAAAGTCTGCTATTCTCCCCTGGCCTTTATAGCTTGCATTCTGTTAGTAAATGAGAGCAGAATTTAAGATTAGTTCCATGTTATTCAAAACAATCCACGTGACCAAAATGATGAAAATCAAAAGAAAACTCGAACAAAGAAGCAAAGATGCAAGACAATAAAAATATATGTGCCTAATAAAATAAAATGTTTTAAAATATCCGTAATTAACAATTTCAATCATGAGGAAACTGATGGAAAATAGCTTAAATTTGTTGGCAGTTAATTACTATTACGATTTTTTGTATTTTGTGAATGATGATGTCACTTGATACAATCATGACTCATGAGCCATATCTAAAGTTTAAGCTGTTAGGTTAAGATACGTGAATGACTTTGGCAAACATGCGCACAAGTCTACCTGTGCTGGCATTTAACTTTTCAAAAGAAGAATGAAGGTGGCGGATCGAACTTTAGATCATTTGGTCAAATAGGCTTTGATATGAACTATCCAAAAAGCTTAAATTGTTGAGACACATGATTTGTTTTTCCAATATATATCTCTAACAATACTAACTGTCGGGTGAATAGCTTTTTCCAAAGCTGCAATATAGAGATCCAATCCAATTTTCTCGCATTTACTTGAACAATAAAGAAAAAATAGTGCACACATAGGCATAGCTACGAATGACAGCAGATGCAATGTTATATTCATAACTAATTGTTTAGAAAAACAGCTCCAGCATGATGAGTCGGAAGGGAAATTGAAAATAAGCATAAAACCATGTGAATATGTATTTAGTAATTTACCACTCCTAATTCATCAGGATACAGTCCTCGGTTGGCGTTGCGATTGACTTTGCCAATTTTAGCACGGAATGTCACCTACACACCATAACGTAAGATTTTAATTATCCTACCATGCTCACATATAAACTCAATAGAAGCATATAAAAAATAAATAAATAAAGTAAAAGAACATTCCAGCGATTCAAAAGGGCATAAATCACCTCGCCTGCAGGAACATTAAGATCCCCAGTCAATTTCACTGCCTCAACATATTCAAAAAATTTGATATCGGAAGTGTTGTTTTCGTTGTCCGCATCATTCCAATGTCCAAATTTTCGCTTCAATTGCACTATTTCAATACCATAAGGGCCAAATGCACCAACATAGAGTCCTGCATTTTAACCAGAAAAATAAATTCTCTGAGCTATTTTTTATGTAAATTTCAAATAATATAATAAACACAAAAGGATAAACCAACTCACCATCAAAAGGATCAGAATCCCCTACGGAACCAGAACTTGTAATCCGGCTAAAATATGTATCTTCAGATAATCTACTCTTTTTCTGTGCTTGACTAATAGCAAGTTTGACAATTTCACGCATGCTTTTGGAATTCTAAGTCATGCGAGACATTAGTCATTTTAATAAAATAAATAAAAACAATTTTTAAATAATAATTAAATTATTCAATCTCACCTTAGAAGAGACTTTATCAGAACCCCAGAAAGCCTTAGCAATATCAGAAGGCATAAGTTCTGAAATCAGTGCTGCCCCTTTGATAATGCGAACTTTATCCTCTTTTCTATCATTGTCGAGATATCTCCTAGGTATATGTAAGAGGAAAGAATCCCTTTCCATATTCTTTATTTCCGCGGGAAGACGCATAAATTCCTTAGCAGCATTATCTTCATCGTTGTGTACAATCCCACCAAGAAAAAGCTTCATATCTAAATCCTTTTCTTCTTCCGAGGCATCAATATCACCTTCTAGAGTGACCTCATCAGGTTCGTCCAGGTTATTAACTTCCCCTTCAGAATTCTCAGTGGAGCTTGTTTTATTACCATCATCCTCCATGATTTGTTTAATAGAATCACTACCCTCTCTAGCTTCCTCTTCAACATTAACATTCATAACTTTGACTTTCAACCCTGGAATTTTTTCTTTCAGAAAATTTATGACACTTTTCTCAACGTTACTGTTTTTCTCATCATCTGTCTCCTCTACCTTCTCTTCAGGTTCCTCCACCTCAATTGAAGACAAATTCTCAACCTCGGGTTTGGATGGGCTTTTAGCAGGTATAGATGGAGGATTACTTGTAGAATTTCCTTTGGATCTTCGCAAATACACTACCTATTAAGTGTTGCCAAGTAGACATCACAAGCATTATGACACATACTAAAGTCAATCATTCAGAATCAGGTAGATATCAAAGGTAAGAGACTTTCACAAATGTCATGCTAATTGGAAAATCCTAAACTTTAATCAAAAGATCACATTCTTCCAAAACAAATGATGCTCCCATTCCATAATTCATTTTGTATTCAGATCATGACCCATGAAAAAGTTTCTTCATTTAGATTGAAATAAATTCAAAATCACCCATGATCAACAAACAAACATTTGAACTAAGACTTTGTTTCACCCCAGTGTATCATTAAGTTACAAACAAACATTTGAACTAAGACTTTGTTTCACCCCAGTGTATCATTAAGTTACAAACAAACAAGCACCGTTTAGCTGGAAATTTTGAATATATTACCTGCATATGGTATGTGTCGTCAGCATTTTTTACCACATATATTTCAAATAACGGTGTTCCAGTAGATGATGTGAGCAATTGTCTGTAGCAAACAGAAATAAGCATTGATCCCCAATCACTAGAGCGAAAAGAAGAAACTAGAAAGATCATACCTTGGACTGTAACTCTTGCCGACGAACCTGCCCATACCAGGACTTATACGTATTAATCTACCAAATGGGCTCTCTGAATCTTTTGAGTATCCTACCCACCAACCCACCTGCATGTAAAGGTCAAAACGGTCATTGGGCATTAAAGGTATGTGATTAAGATTAACAATTCACAAAAAAGATGCTAAGGCCTAAGGCCAGTAGTACCATAATCAATACTCATAAATCATAACGACGACTTGTATCTTCCCCGACAACTGCATTATTTCACAATCTAGTACATCATCTCTTTTAAACTGTCTTAATCTGGAGTCACTTTCAGATTATATATTACCTTCACCAATCTTTTTCTTAGTTATAATTTATAAACATGTTTAAGAATGATAGGTTCCGAATTTCTTCCAATATATCTCAAACTTATATACTCCTTCCCGAAGACAGTATAAAAATACCATTTTCCTTTTCTATAAAATTAAAATCAACATTCTAGATTGTCATTAGCAAGTGAAGAAATAGTTTTTGGACAGTTTCCAGTTTCCCCTTCACGTTACTCCCAAAAAATTTCAAAACATATGAGTAACTCCCTATTATTTCCCCCACCCCATACTGTAATTGTGAGTTATTAGTTGTAAGTTGTAAAATGCATATGCCATTTCATTTTTCTATATTAATATATTTTATACTAATATATAAAGGCAAAACATAGAAGACTTTGTTATTCACTTGACGTGCATCAATTTTGTTGACATTTTTGTTGACTTAAATAATTTTGTTGATCGATCAGTATTTTAAAATATTTAAGAAAATTGATCGATCAGCATTAAGAGGAAAATAAAAAGACTACTATATTTAAGAAGCAATATTTTAAATTATTTTGAAATATTGTGTAACTTATTTATAAAATATTTTAAATTAAATAAAATACACGTTTAACTTAAATAATATGGACAAACTATTTATTAAAGAATACTTTAGTGAATACACGTATAATGAGAAGGACACTAAATAATATTCTATTATTTAACTGTTTGTCACGTCACATATATTAACAATATTAAGCACGTTTAATATTGGTGAAAATATTGCTTCTTAAATATAGTAGTCTTTTTATTTTCCTTATTAACAGAAGAAGCATGCAGTATAACACAAAAAACAGAAGATTTGTCTCTGAAATGGTCTAATTTCGCCATAACCACCGATCCCACACCCTCTATTTGTCCGCATCCACCATCTCTCCCAACACAACACTCACCGTCACTGCTATGAACCAACGCACTCGCATCATCGTTATTGTGTCCTTTATTTCATACATTTTTCATCTCTTTTAAAACTACCCAATCATTCTTACATTGTGTTTTTTTATTTTCACCGCTAAGATCTGTTCTTCCTTCCCAATCCCGCCTCAGATGCAGACTCTCCCTCCTTTGTCTTGCATCAGAGGTTTTCTCCCCTCTTCCCTCTCATGAATCTCGCTCTCCCTTTAAATTTTTTCACCCAACTCGGATGTGGCTTCGTGCTTTTCACATGTCTCTCTCGCTTTCTCAAATTTCTCGGCATGGTTTTGATGCTTGCTTTCTGTTTCAAGATTCTATACTTTGGTTGGCGTTTTAAGGGTATATTACGTTTCCTCTGTGATTTTGGAGGCATGCCCAGAATTCGTCTCTGTTTCGAGAACATCATTTGGGAAGTTTCTAAGCCAAAGGTTCCATCTTTCGAAAATGGGTCCGACCCTAATGTGACCAAGAAGAGCTCTAAGGTTGCTGGAGAAAAAGGGAAAGATAGTCCGGGGAATGGGTTGGAAGGAAAAGACGAGAGTGACGGGGAGGTTCGAGATGTGGACGAGGTGTTTGATGTAAAGACTCTGAGAAAGTTGATAAAGATTGAGCGCAAGAAAGCCAATGCTGCTTTTGCAGAGCTTGACCAGGAACGAACAGCTGCTTCTTCATCGGCGGATGAGGCAATGTCGATGATTCTCAGGCTTCAGAATGAGAAGAGCTCGGCTGAAATTGAAGCTAATCAATTCCGCAGAATGTCGGAGCAGAGATTAGAGTATGATGATGAAGTGATTGAGTCTTTGCAATGGGCGATCACATGTCACGAATCTCATAGGAGTGTGTTGGAAGAGCAGTTGAGGGTTTATAGAGAAGAGCTCTATCAACATATTGAGGAGGATGAGATAGAACAACTTGAAGCCAGTCTTAGTAGGGGTAAGATATTTGAGAATGAAGCTGTTGATTCCGGGATAGAACAACATGAAACCAATGTTATGAGTTTTGAGGATAAAGCTGTTGATTATGGGATAGAACAACATGAAACCAATGTTAGTAGGGGTAAGAGTTTTGAGAATGAAGCTGTTGATTCCGAGATAGAACAACATGAAACCAATGTTAGTAAGGGGAAGAGTTTTGAGAATGAAGTGGTTGATTCCGGAATAGAACAACATGAAACCAATGTTAGTAAGGGTAACAGTTTTGAGAATGAAGCAGTTGATTCCGGAATAGAACAACATGAAACCAATGTTAGTAAGGATAAGAGTTTTGAGAATGAAGCGGTTGATTCCGGGATAGAACAACATGAAACCAAAGTTATTAAGGGTAAGAGTTTTGTGAATGAAGCTGTTGATTCCGGGATAGAACAACTTGAAGCCGGAGTTAATAGGGATAAGAGTTTTGAGAACGGAGCTCTTGATTCTGGGATAGAACAACTTGAAGCCCAAGTTAGTAGGGCTAAGAGTTTTGAGAAAGAAGTTGTTGATTCTGGGACAGAACAAGTTAAAGCCCAAGTTAGTAGGGCTAAGAGTTTTGAGAATGAAGCTGTTGATTCCGGGATAGAGCAAGTTGAACCCAATGTTAGTAGGGGTAGGAGTTTTGAGAATGAAGCAGATGATTCTGTAGTTAGCACTTCTGAAACCGGATCGCATGCCTTGTAAGTTCCAAGGTTGTGTTATATACAAACAAATGCTTTTACTTCACTTTTCTTTTGACCTGTTTTTGTGTAGTGTAAATTGTATTAATCCATAACTTTAGTATTGATAATCTTGAGCGTTAATGTATATATCGATTGATATTGATGTTTTTGCATGGTAATTAATTAGACTCCGGTTTCAGGTTTGTTAGTGCAGCTTCTATTATAACTTTGTTGAATGAAATGCATCCAATAGCACAGATTTCTCACAGGCATATTAAAGTATTCTTAATTTCATGTTTACTGTGTAAATTATAATGAATTTCCTAGGAAAAGATAAATTAAAATTTGTTAGTTAGTATAAAGCCTCGGTCATTTTAGGAAATGGATTCGCTGCAATCAAATGCTAACAGCAGGGTGATCCTAGCCATTCATCTCCTGTAACAATAGTTTAATAATGTAAAATCTGCAACATTTGATTTAAATCGTAAGGCCTATATTGTCCTGACGGGTGACAGTGGTTCCCTGACTGCGACGGGTGACAATGTGGTTCCCTGATTGCAGGGAATCATGGTCAGTCATTTTATTGTTTAATTTGTTGGTACTTTTCTGCTACTTATGTCCTTCTTTTCTTTACTTGGGATCATATCGATGATCTTAGAGAGATAAATTTTAATTATCAGTAGAATTTAAATATGGTATTATTAGAGAACATTCTTTGTTTGCCTCACAAGTCACATGTCATTTCTCACACTACACCAGAACTACATACATATTAACCTTTCTGTTGTGATGAACTGTATCATTTTCATCCTTTTCTTATTTGCACTTATCCTACAAGGTGTTACAGTAATACTTCCAAGATTGTTCAACAAAATGATCGTGTTCTTTGTTATTCATAAGGATTAAATGAAAATTATGCAGTTATATGGTTACAAATCCAGTTCCGAACAAAGTCTTCTCACTGATCGATCAACAAAAATGTCAACAAAATTGATGCACGTCAAGTGAATAACAAAGAAATGTCAACAAAACATAGAAGACTTTGTTATTCACTTGATGTACGCAAAAATTTCAACTTCAAAATTCCGTCACAATTATTATGTATTTAATTTTCACCGATAAGAAGACAACAACAAAAGCCATTATAACTCATCTATAAATAGAAGTTATAAATAGGAGCATCATCTAAGTTTGAAGTTCACGAGTTATTAGTTGTAAGTTGTAAAATGCATATGCCATTTCATTTTTCTATATTAATATATTCTATACTAATATATAAAGGCAAAACATAGATTTGGTGTAGCCTTTTTTTTCTTCCAAATATACCCTTTTTAATTTTTATTTTAAACTTTAACTTCTCTTTTGACCAAATGGCAGTTATACGACGTTTTATCATCTTTCATACCATTATCTTTTCCTATTTTATAAATAATCTATATCTATAATCTATAATCTATAACATATATAAAGGCAATATTTGGTTTTTTGTGTAGCTTTTTTTTATATCAAATTTACCCTTATTTTAAAATATATAACTTACACAATAACTTCCATTGAACTACTACTATCATCTTTCATATAACTCCCTACTAATAACTTCCCACATAACTTCCATGTAAAATTTATATTAAATAAAAATATATCATTTATATTTATATGTGCAATAAAAAAGCGGACAGTTTAAAATAAAAGTAATAATACAGTTTATATTTTACACCCGTGGGCATTGGAAAAAGCGGACATACGGACACGAGTGCTTGTCTGGACGCTAGTTTTTTGATAAATAGTGGTGCAGAATGAGATTGAATGAAATGATATTCCATTGTTTGGATCATTTAAAAATCGATGGAGCAGAGCGGAATGGAGTGGTATGGATTCCATTCCATTCCATCAATTACCATCATATTTCTTCCCCTCCAATTTGGGCGGAATGAACAACTTGCCTTATTCCATTTTAAAATTTCCAATGGAATGGGACATTCATTCCGCTCCGTTCCATTCCGCTCCGTCCCACTCCGCTTCATTAGATTCCGCTCCGTTCATTTTATAATATCCAAACATAGCCTAATAGTTTATATTACATCACTAATTACAATTGTTAAGCGGTCTTAATTCAATATGGGACAAGATCATGCGAGATTTATAATAATCCATTCATTTCAATCTAATGATTGTAATTAAACTCTTCATTTCTCACTAGATATGCTAAGGTGTGTGTGCGTGTGCCCGAATCAAAGAAATGCAAGAGAAATGCATGCTTTTGAATAAAGCAAGCACAAATTAGCAACAAGAAAAGGTACCAGTCCACTTCCAGTGTGTCTGCATAATCTCGAAGCATCATGGTAGCGCTCATCATCAATCGCATTCTGCAACGTATGAGATTATTACTAACCAAACCATAAGTAGGAAGATTAAGACACTAAGACAGAAATCTGTTCTGACCTTCAACTGAGACAGAATTTCAGCAACACTGTCCTTGGATGTAGCTTCTTGTATAGCCCTCTTTAACTTCGCCGCTTCTGAAAACTCTTCTTTCTCAACAGCATCTTCGAGTTGAAACTGAATTATACATAATAGCGATCACATGAGGAAGAGTAAACCTTCAATTTGGTCTCTAAAATCATATAATTCAAATTGAAAATTAAGGGTTTGAAGAGTGTTATGATAAAATTGGTTACCTTGAGAAGAGAGGTGAAGCTTTCAGCCTGTTCAATATCAGAGAAATGGCGAAGCCAACGATTCCAATCCCAGTTAAGAGAAGTGTCGTTGGTGGAATTGGGGGTACAGCGGAAAAAGTGAGGGGTGCGGTTCTTTCTGGGAAAAATTGAAATTGAGGGGTTGGTTTGAAGAGGAAAAGACGGTGGTTTGTGTGGGTGGAGATTGAAACGAGAAGGGGTTGTAGTTGTAGTGGTGTTGGAGAAAAAGATGGCTTGTGATACACCCAACGAAGCCATCACCGTGATTGGGGTTTGTTACTTGCAGGGTTTGGAGAAGACGAAGAAGGAGTTTGAAGAAGATTGACACAAAGTTGATGTGGTGTGTGCTATGCTGTTGTGTTGGGATAAGTTTTCTGTTGGCACGGGGATAAGTCAAAAATAAAAAAATAAGCAAATAAATCGATTATGTTTTATGGTTGATGTGATATTGTTTCGGTCTTTCGGAAGTTAAGATCTTCTTAAACACAATACTACTTTTTTTAGATTTTTTTTTTCTTTTATACTTTATTAGTTTAAAGTGAGTTTAGATAAGTCTTTAAAGGTCTTAGTCGATTTACTGTAGCTGATCTCGAGCAGATTATTAGTATAGGATTATTGATCCGATGGGAAAAATATTTATGATTTAAAATAAAATGCAAAAGCATAAGAAAAGAGTATTTCTTGGAAATCTATAATAAGGTATTTCAATCTATAATAAGGTGTGTCACTCATTACCAGCTTATAATATAAAAATGGATCCGGCTAATCCGTGCCCTCAGGGTACTATTTAAACATTCTATATTAAAAAATTATTTTTTAAAAAATTCAAACACTTCCATTTCCAATACACATTATTACACATTATTGTACATACTTTTATAAAAATTTACTATTTAAAGTTTTAAAGAGTGTCCTGTTAGCATTTCCTTATAAAAATTTGTTAATTCTCTCGTATGTTAATGAGATCTTTAGATAAAGGTTTCAGGAGTTTTATTTGTCATGGTAATACATATCAATACATGCATTTAATTGGTTGCAACAAAATTATTAAACATAAAAGGTATTAATACATGCATTTAATTGGTTGCAACAAAATTATTAAACATAAAAGGTTAGGTGGTTTAGAGATTCGTTTGGCTAGTTTGTAAAACACTACTTTGTTAGTCAAACTTGTTTATAGCTTTGTGTAACTTGACCAAAAACTTTAGGTCTCATTATTAGAAGATAAATAACTCTTTAAAGTAACATGTTCCTTGATTTATAAAAATGTAGTTGTTTTGCCTACATAGAAAGTTATTCTCAAAGCTCTTAATTTGTTAAAAGATCATTTTATTTATAATATAAGAGATGGAGACGTCAATGTTTGGTTTCAACCAGACATGTCAAAACATCATCTTTTTTTTAGAATATTCAAGATATTTTTCTTCAACTTATGGTTGAAGATCAAGATCATTTTTTTTTTAGAATATTCAAGATATCTTTCCTCAACTTATGGTTGAAGATCAAGAACCTATGATTTGTGGTAAAAATATTGTCGAAGACTTAAATTTTCATCTATTCTCATAAGTTATTATTTTGATTCAGAGATTATAACAAACTTTCGTTAATTTTATTGAAGAACAATGGTTTTAAAGTGAAAATCTTAATGATGAATATACTACCAAAAGCATGTTTCATTAGATGGCGTCTTTGCGTCATGATTATGATTCACTAGAATTGGATATGGAAGTTACCTCGTGCTTCAAGCATTCAATTTTTCATTTAGCATGTTTGTCATAACTCTATTCTAACCAAGTTGTTGTAAATGTGCCTTAAAGCCTTTGTTGATGAAGAGAAAAAAATATATTTTGGAGATTGCATTTATCGTGAAAATCGGAAGTTTTAGAAAGTCGAACGAAAAGTCGAGAAGGGAAAAAATTTTGGTCGGTGAATAGTGTTGTCCGTACGGTGAATAGTATTTTCGAGTTTTCGGACTTTTTCAATTCAGTCCATGGATCCATGTGATTTTGGGCTTTATTTGATGGATATTTGTTATTATAAATATGCATCTCTTATATGTTTGGTGTGTGACAATCTTAGAGTTTTCACCAACAAGAGAGACCAAGGATTTAAAGGTATAACATAGGGTTTCAGCTATGCACAAAAAAAACCTTGGATTACACATTGGGTTTGAGTGATTCATATATTGAGAGTTGGAGAGATAGGGAAACACTTGGATAGAAAAATAGGGTTGTTCTTGGGAACCTAAAGGCGAAGGCTATTTTCTTGTAACTCATATGTAATCTCTTGTAACAATTTTTTGAGTATAGTGAATTGGAGAGCTACTCTCTCCTCCAGAGTAAATCGTTTGGTCGAATTGGATAAACATGCCTTCGGTTTTTCTTGGCTTATTCTGGTACGGATTATTATTGTTGAAGACAATTTATTTTGGTTGTTGTTGTTCTTTGCCTCACAAATTGATATTGAATTTTGTCGTAATTCACAACAAGATTCACAACAAGTGGTCCGGTGAGCATGAAGCAAAGAGATATTGTTGACAAGTGAGCACCATGGTTAGTAGATGGTAGATCGAGAAATTTTTCAATAACAACGACTTCGGGTTGTGGAAAATTAAGATGCAAGCAATTTTAATTCAAGAGAAGTGTGTCAATGCTTTGAAGAGTGAAGCATTGATGCATGCAGGGCTTACACGGGTACATAAGACCGAGATGGTGGATAAGGCCAGGAGTGTCATTATCTTGTGCCTCAGGGATAAAGTTCTAAGAGAAGTTGTCAGGGAACAAACTGCGGTTGCTATGTGGGTGTCGCAACTGTGGGGAAAAAAGGGTCGACAAACAGACAAAAGAGTCTCCACCGAACGTTATTTATCCCAAAAGAGAGGGAGAGGAAACGATCGAAGAAAACCTAAGAGAAAGGGGAAAATAAGGTCATTGCAACCAAAAATTGGGTTCAGGAGTCGGTTACGCAAGGGGAAGGTATGAGCATCCCTCACGTCTGTTGTACTCAACGGGATCCACGCTTATTGTCTAATTTATGGGTGAAAACTATCTAAAAGTTACTGCTAAACGGGAGGGAAGAGAAAGAAAGAACAAACTCGATAGGACATCGCCGCTATATGCCTACGTATTCCCTCGTGCAATGGGAAAGTCAGAGTCAACGTAGTTCGGGAAACTACGGGTGATAGGAGAAAGGTTGCTCGCCAAGATATCGCCGTCTTGTGCCTACGTATCCTTATCTGGTATGAGAAATCGGAGCAATCGTAGTTCGGCCAACTACGGGACAAGGTTGGTTAAGGTATTTTTGCGAGTGACGTTAAATCTCCATTCCAGCAGTTAGGAATGATGCATGTTTGCGGTAAAACGGAAAAGTAACGTACTCTTTGTTAGACTATGGCACGGATCTAGAAGGGGGGTTGAATAGATCCCAATTATAATTTGAGTCGGCGCTACCAATTTAAAAATTGGTTTTGAAAATTTGTTTTAAGTGCGGAAGCGGCCTAGGAAAATATAGTCTAAAACGAACGGTTATTGGAAAACTGGATATGCGATAAGCCTTTGGATTAATGAAAATATGGAAAAGAGAATCACAACATTAATCACACTTATCAATGATCTAATTCACTTGTTAGGATTCCTAGTTCCAATGATTTAAAGAGCAAACCAAAACTAGATACACAAGTAAGATAATTTTGGTTTAGGCAATTTGTCAAACATTTGGTGTGCAAAACACTCCAAGTGATATTTATATTGAGTAAGTGATTCCAACTAGCCTAGTACAATGTCTTATTGTACTTTGGATCAAAAACAGAGTTTTAACCTCTTACTCAATTGATATCACAGTTTGACAATAGTGCTTATACAAAAATCACTTATTTTTAAGCTAAAACAAAAATGCTTAAAAATAGAGAAGACAAGTATTTGGTGAGGCAGTTCCCCCGTCGTCCTCGCTTCGGGGTACGTCTGCCCTCAATTCTAAAACCAAAATTGAGATAGATTTAATAGATATCACATGTTGAATGTAACGGTTTATACAAGGATTGAACAGCAAATATACAACAAAAATCTCAAGACGTTGAATGTTATTTTCACTCCTTGCCCCTTGATTCAAGATGAATCAAGTCCACCGATCGTTGTTGGTAGACCTCTGATTCCAGCAACCTTATTGAATAACCCCTAGTTGTTCAAACCTTCGGCTCCGGCTGATCTCAACTGCAACGAATCGAACCCGAGATCTTCCCCTCAATATCACTGAATCCGCTACTAGACTGTTGAAGAACACCTCTTCACAATCACCTTCGCTCAGTTGACCCTTGATGAAGAATCTCGTCCAAAAAAAACCCAAAGTTCAAACCAATCTTGGAGGATAAAACCCTAATGGTTTTATTCAAGAAAGAACCTGTCACAAGCTTCAACCCGAACTAGATTACCCAATCTAAGCTTCGAACCTTATCACCTTTAATCACTCACAATGCACTTCAAAAATGGCTGTGTGTAATTGATGTGTTGTGAGATGTTGAAGATGAAGATGAAGAATCTTGGACACCTATTTCACTCTTTCTTATTCTTGAACACATGAATCCGTTTTTATCAAATGTTGAAATGACATAAGTGGTTGAACTTGTATATATAGTACCAAACCAACCAAAGACATAACAGCTTTTCAAATAATAGAGGGAATCACTTAAAACCTGCATTTCCGCGCGAACGGTCGACCACAGCAGGTTTGTGCATCGACGCATAGCCTGTACTTTTGGAAATCTGCAAAATGTATCAGTATGCGTCGACCATACAGTCGGCGTGCGCTGACCCGTTGAAGAGTAATTTCTTCATGCGCCGACCCTGCGGTCGACTCAACCCTTCATGCGCTGACCGATGGAAAAATGCACTGATGCATGCGCCGACCCTATGGTCGACTCATGCCCTGCAAACCTGCAAAAATTGATATTCTTGTGGTTTTTCATGCCTCTTGTCACAACCATATTTTATCTACACATATTATATTTATTATAACATTTTTTTTAGACAAATGTAAAAGGATATGATAGGTGATACGTTGCATTTGTTTGGTGGAGTTGGAATTTACAATTGCCAATTCATTCATGGTTGTAGTTCGTCATCATCGAAACCTATATCGAGTGATGTCTTGCAGACTCATGTGATGTGTGGCGATTTGCCTTCACATTCTCCCCCTTTTTTATGATGACAACCTGTATACAACCACGACAACCAAAAACACAACAATATGCAATGTATACACAA